AAAAAAGCAGTGGTGTTGTACACTGACTGTTGGACACCAGGCACTTTTGTAGCTGGTTTTGTCTCCTATAACAAAATACTTGAGGTTAAGTAAGTTAAAAAGAAATTGATTTAGCTCACAGTGTTGTTTCATTTTCTTTTTTTAGCTCCAGCAGTCTGCTCAGCTCTGGTGAGGATTCCTGGCTATGGCATGATGGCATCACAGGGTGGAGCACATATGCAAACATAGTGAGCAGTATTTGCAGAAGGATTCTGAGAGGTTCCCGGCTCCCTAGTACTGACTCATCTTCACAGGAGCTAATCCAGCCTCATGAGACCTGCAGGAATCTCTTCCAAGGGCCATCATCATCCCCTGACCTCACCTAGTAAAGATTCTGTTACCTAAACACTACCACTTTGGAGACCAAGCCTCAGGAGAGGAACATCTAGTGGACAAACCACAGGCAAACCATGCCCAGGCACCGACTAGGCAACATAGTTGAAGAGAGGCAAAGAAAAGAAACATTCAAAACTCAGCTTCCAAGTAGGTAGCACAGCCTTTGGCAGAAAGCTGTGCCTATGGCCTGACACTCCAAAGAGCAGAAGATATGATTATTGCACCCATTAAATATTGCCAGACAATGGGAATTAGCTCCGCAAAAGACACTACAGAGTTAACATTACCAGTTAAACTCATTGTTCCAAGAGGCTTGAAGGTGGCTGCTATTAAACTGAAGTGTGGAGGTATAGGCCAAGAAAAGTGACTGCTGTTTTAAGAACTATAACCAGAGTAACTCTTTGGCATTAGTTACTTCCATATGAAATGAATGAAAGCAAATGGACAAGAAACGCTATGTTTTTAATGAAATTCTATCATCAACTGTCTTTAAAATGTTAGATAAAGCCCATCCCGTGCCTTAAATTCACAATAAGGTGCTGTGCATTTATCTCAGATGTTGAGACTGATCATGATGAGGGAATAGGTGGAGCTGGGAGGGTTTGGGGAGAATCATGGGAGGGGTGACATTTATCAAGACACATTGGACCCATAAATTGCTATGTTGAATTGACACACATTTGTTTAACTAGTTAAACCGGAAAAAAAAAAAAAGAATGCCTCCCTCCCCACACAGTGTATGTACCACTAGGGTATGAAAAGGTTTATAACCCACATATTGAGATTTGCCAGGGAGACAGCGCAGACTCCCAAATGGGTCCAGAAATGTTTGAAATGGCTTAGCTTTCATCATTCCTGGAATGGGAGGCTGAAGTGAATAGTCTTAAGTCAGGTCAGGGTCGTATGACTTGAGCTTCGTGTTCAAAGAAGCAGCCAGCCACCTGACCTCCCATCTGATTGGCCAGGTATGGGGCACAAGAGGAAAGAGAAATGGAGCATCTTGAAAGCAATCAGCAACCAAACATCAAAAATGGAGTTTGGAGTCTTCATTACAATCAAATGAATTAAACCTTGCCATAGAAATCTGTGCTTGTTTAATCCCTGAGGCAATCTAGATCTGTAAAAATTTGTATGTCTCTCTAAAGCTTCTTAACTTCTTAAAGCTTCCAATGTAACCATTGGGGCTGATGAGCAGTAATTATCTGAAGTCCAAAGCAGGATCTACAGAAGATATTAAACAGGGCAGTTTCTCCCAAAGAGTGGATTTATTGTTGAACTCAGAGGGACTTAAATTTTTTTTTGCCAGGGCAGAAGATCTTTGCCAGACCTACACAGATGTTTCAATGTGGCATGGGTCACACTGCTATCTCTCATCTTTTACCCTAATATTCATTCTTTCCTTTCTTCCTTTTAGTGGTAGAAGCTTTTCCTCTGCAGTTTTTGTATGGCATGTGTGTAGATGGAAGAAACCTGTTCCAGTCTTCCTCAGATCAAGACAAAGCTATGCTGTAAGTACCTATCAGCGGACTCAAGGCAGAAATGATGCTGAAACTTACTTAAAAGGAAATAGCTTGCTTCCAGCTTTGCTTTCTTTCCATGCTGGAAAGCAGATGGGCTTCTTTGAGACAATACTGACCATGGGATGAACACCTCCTTGCTAACAAGAGAATGTGGTAGATGAATTTGGAATCCCTTGGTTTTCTTGTGAAACAAGGCTAGCCTATCTGTTTTTGACTTATTACTACTTCTAGATTTGTATGTGAGGAAGGAATGAACTTCTGTTGTACATGTTCATCATATTTTTTGGTCTCTTTGTTATAGCAGTGTGGTCAATTTCAGAACTATTCAAAAAAGAATGAAAATATTAAGAAGTTAAGCTCCTCTTTTATAATCTTAAAATGTCCCTTCCTGTTTCTTTGATTTTTACCTTTAACAACAATGGTAAAGGAGTTTTAAATTTAACTTGCTACAAACAAGTAACACCCTAAAACCACATGTGGCTCATAAATTCAGTGTGCTTCTCTTATATCCAGAAGTCAACTTACAATTGTAATTGTGTGCACTCTTTGGGCCTAAATGGTAGCATTTTATCAGCAGAAATCGTGAGTATCAGATAGATAGATGAAAACTCATATATATAAATCAACTTCCATTTATTCCAACATAGACATGTGTCCATGAATTATTATGTGTTATCTACTCTGTAATCAATTAATCATAGATAACAGGATGAAGATAAAATAGACTTCTATCTCCCATCATGTAATGCCAACAGGATGATTTTCTCTGACTCCGTTTCATGTTACTCTGTGCTTCAGAATAGTTCACTGTGTTGCTAAGACAACAAGGGATACTGCAACAAAAAACTGGGATTGAAGTCAAGGCACTGGAGCTGCCTCAAAGGATGACATAAATAGTATGTTCAAGGCCTCTTTCAACAGTGAAACCTGTAACACTTGAATTAGAAAAGTCATATTCATCTAACATCTTTCTCAAAAAAGCTATGGTACTCCTGCTAACTTACATTCTCAAACTGAAAGAACACTGGTATGTTGACTAAAAATCAGAAAGTTTTTGCAACACCAATGTGTTTTTAGAGCCTGGTAGAAGTAGCTGAAAGGAATTTGTCCTTAAATTCTAAGATGTCTTTATTCTAACAGAAGCCTATCTGCAGACCACCTAAAGAACACAGAAACTTCCTGTCAACTGTTCCTCCAGAAAGAACATGCATCTCCTCTAACAGCACAAAGAACCTCCATGAAAGCTACTGATCAACATGGGAGGGGGAAGCGAGGAGGGGAAAAGAAACAGGCTCTGTTGTTGGGAGTACTATTGAGAGGGGGCTGAGCTAGCAAGGGTGGAAGAGAATTGCCAGTGTGTGTGAAAACAGAACAATAAAGCCTCTTAAAATTGTAGAAATGAGACAAGGGGATGGGGGAAGAGTGATAGAATGGGGAAACTGATAGAAACACATTGTGTAGAAATGAACAATGAAATCCTCCCTTGTATAGTTAATATATGCTAATTTAAAAAAGCAATAAAAATAATTTTTTTTAAAAAAGACAAAGTGCATCCCCTCTATATCAAGGTTAGATTCCAGGTGGTTAATCAATAGGGTGGTTTTGCTCTTCATTGAGACCTCTGACTGATATTTGGATTTGAGTCTATGAACATAGTGAAGTGTCTTCCCTGCGCTTTTTGTTTGTTTGTTGTTGGTAGTGGTAGTTATGGGGCTTGAACTTTGAGCCTGGGCGCTATACCTGAGCTCTTCAGCTTCAGGCTAGCGCTCTACCACTTGAGCCACAGTGCCACTTCTGGTTTTCTGCTGGGTAATTGGAGATAAGAGTCTCACAGATGTTCCTGCTCACACTGGCTTCAAACCAAAATCCTTAGATATCAGCCTCCTGAGTAGCTAGGATTACAAGTGTGAGCCACCAGCACCCAACACTTTTGTTTTTGTTTTGTTTGGGGCTGGTCCTGGGATTTGAGCTCAGGGCTTGAGCACTATCTCTGAACATTTTTGCACAAATCTCGTGCTTTTTCATTCAAGGCTAACAACCTACCACTTGTGCCACAGCTCCACTTTTACTTTAAAAGTCCCACACACAGACTTTCCTGACGTTGGCTTCAAACTGTGACCTAAGCTTAGATTGCAGCCTCTTGAGTAGCTAAGATTACAGGACTGAGCCACAGGCACCTGGTCTTCTTGCTTACTTTTCGACAAAAGCACCAATAAGTGCAGCAGCAGCAGCAGGGTGGAACCCAGGCTGGACTCCCAGGTTTGTGTTAAAACTGAACAAGTGCAACAGTCATCCTGCTTTAATATCCAGAACAATCAAGGGCAAAGGAAAGGAAAACAAAACGCTTGAACTGACTTTGAATTGTTTTCTGACCCAAAAGAAAAAAAGGAAATGAAACAGCATTTAGCTGTGAGCTGCAGAGTGTATCCTTTTTGCATCAGATAGTCCCTATTATAAAAATTCATCAAAATAACACAAACAAGGCTGGGGATGGTGGGGCAGCACTTTCAGAGGGGTTCTATCCCCTCAGGTGCCAGTGGGGCCCCACAAATTGGACTCTGATTCCTAACTGTAATTTCACATATGGCTCTTAAGCCTTTTCTTTAGAGAGAAGCGTAGTTTCAGTACAAAAGCCTGTGAAATTTTTCTTCCAAGGGCCAGAGGTATCATTCAATGGTGAAGCACTTGCCTAGCTGCTCACAGACCCTGGGTTCAATTTCCACCACTGCAAACAAGTAAATAAAATGAATGAATAAAAGCATCCTGTGTTCTCAGGGCTAGCACAGATTATCTTCAGAATCACCAGCCTCTCAAGAAGAAATCTGGCTCCAAATAAGAGACAGGTAAAGGCAGGCAGTGGAAGATAGGTTTCCTTAGTCTTTTCTGTTTCTAGTGAAGAATTCCTTTTATCAATCAAGAGCTGAAGATGCTGGTTACTTAGAGAAACTCAAGGTTATGCTGTAAGGTCAAGTTCTGCAGGAATCTTTATAATCAAGTAGAAATAGTAGCAAAGTCTAATAACCAGAAGATCCCTCCCTCCCTTTTTTTTTTTATAACTGTGATATTCGAGGCATAAAAAAGAAAATGAAGAAGAACACAGATCACTCTATTTTAATAATTTAAGTAGCAGAAATCATAATGGTTTGTATACTACACTATACAAATAATATACTGTTAACTTTCCAAAAAAAAATCAACTTGTAGGATTTTCTGTAACAGTTATTCCGTGTGGCTAATGTCTTGATCCTTTAGCCACGGTGACGTCACATGGACTACAAACTATGAGGTTCCAAATCTTCCGGTTGTGCCTGTGTCTGCTGCCATGGAGGGAGGAGCCTCTCGGAGACCTGGCGTGGCCCCTTCCATCTCCGGTGCCAGGACCCACGGGCTCTGTAGGTGGGCATGTTCCCACGTGTGCGGCGTCTGTGCTTTGCTTCCCACCAGCCTACTCTCCTTTATGAGAACTTGCGCTTCTTCATGGCTTCTGCCTTGACTGCCAGGCTCTTGGCACAGATGGTTAGGACCACAATGAGAACACCCACTACGAATGTCACCAGGGGCCAGAGGAAGCAGTGCAGGAGGACGATCTCATCATGCGTGCGATGTAGGAGGACATCGTCTGGTCTGCAAGGCCGTGGGGAACAGGAGAGAAAGCAGTCAATCACCTTTGTAAGACATCAGAATCTTTTGTTTTTTACAAAAAAGTAACCCTACTGGCTTTCCAGCTCAAAGGGAGTAATTATCTTTGAAAGTGAAGGCCTCACTACTGCATTTTGTGCTTTAAACCTATTTCAAAAAGCTTCGAGGTCCTGCATCAAGTAACTGGTGCAAATTTCACCTCACTGATAATTGACATGTTGCAAAATGTCAAAAGTATAACAATCACTTATGTTCTATTCCCTCCCATTCTGGGTTGCTTAACAGTGCACTTTCTTATTTAGCTTCTAATAGCCCCCTGGATTATATAGCAAAGGGCTGGAATTTAAGAAGTACTCATGGATGGGGACATTCTCCAATAAAACTAAAGTAGATGTCTGTGCTTCAGTGGGAACCAACTGATCTGAATTTTTAGAGTCCCATAAAGATACTGTTTGAATTAGCCAGCCCAACAGATGGAACAGTCCTGAGATCAACCGTTTTTATTAACAGGCAGGCAATGATGAAACTGGATAAATGCTTGTCTTTCTAGGTAGGGATTAGCCATCATTTGACCCATTAACCTCTTTCCTGATAGCAATCAACTTCTATCTTATCAGTGGGGGCTCTACTGTTCAATTCCTAATTTGATTTCATGGATAGGAAATGAAGATGAGAAACATTCCACAACTCATGGTTTCTTATCCTGCACTAGAGAGAGAGAGGTTCTGGGTTTTCACACAAGAGGTGTCCATTGTACAAGATACTTCCATTTCCTTCACAGGAAAGTTTGTTCTGTTATATTAGAGCAGCTCAGTTTTCTCCAGGAAAAACAGAAAACAATGCACAACACTTCTCCAATTCTCCTCTAGCACATCAAGGATTTCAGGGCATAAGGGCTGTGTTATTATCTGAGATGTGCTTTCCTGAGAAATGTTCATTAGTCATAGCTCTCATAATTCTTCTATTTAACAGAAGACTGAAAAGGGCCATTGGTATTTTTCTTTACCCTATAGTGACCATGTGACCACCATGTCGAATGGACAGAAACAGTTGTGAAGACTAGCTTTGATGCTATTTAACCTTTGCACATTTTTCCTTTAATGCATCACCGCAAATTTTACACATGAAGTCAGATTTTTAAATTGACATTTTCTTCTACAGTATTTCAATTAAATTTTAGATTAAACTATTGCAGAGTCATGTTAACAATTTGGCTTGCAGATACTACCCCAATTTCTAAACTCTTACAGCACCACATTATCTTCAAGACTTAGGCTCCCACTAATTTAGGTGGACATACCCATGTATATATGTTTTTCATTAGATGCTGGGCATAGTTCATGGGCCTTGTCCATGTCCAGGCAAGAACTCTCCATGAGGCACATTCCAAATACACAATATACATATCTTTTTCTTTGGTAAGGCCTAGCAGTCAGGGTTATGGTTTTGTCACTACTTATCATTCAACATATAATTGTTGCTAAATAAATTGCTTTCTACTGGTGAAGAGCCTGCCTTTGTTGTACCTTTATTACCTACTTTTAAAAAGAATTTTATGCCCAAGGTTTGAAAAAATAGAAGCCAAGGTTCAAAAATACAGGCAAGGGACTGGGTGGTAGAATGCTTTCCCTAGGTTTGATCTCCAGCAGAGAGGTGTGTGTGGGAAGAGGGTGTGATTGATTGATTGAGAAGGAAGGTAGAGCGAGAATAAAAGATAGTCAAGCTGGGTGCCAGTGGCTCATGCCTGTAATCCTAACTGCTGAGGAGGCTGAGATCTGAAGATCACAGTTCAAAGCCAGCCCAGGCAGGATAGTCTGTGAGACTGATCTCCAATTAACCACCAGAAAACCAGAAGTGGTGCTGTGGCTCAAGTGGTAGAGCGCTAGCCTTGAGCTGAAGATCTTAGGGACAGCACCCAGGCCCAGAGTTCAAGCCCCATGACGGACACACACACACACACACACACACACACACACACACACACAGAGTCAAAATACCAGGGCACAGAACCATCAGAGCTCTATTTTAGAGACTGAAATCAGCATCCTCAGCACTGTTATGATTCTTTTTTCAACTATAGGTACCCAGAGCTCTCAAAACACCTCTACTCAAGTATCAGAGAAGGTCAAGGCTGTCTCATAGAACAATAGATCAATCTGTTCTCCCTATCTTCTTCCTGCTCCTTCCTCCTTTACTTTTCCCTTTCCTTTCGCCTCTGTTTTTCTCATTCTAATTCTTGAGGATAACCTATTGCTACAAAGATAAGTTCTATATTCTTCAGTGTATGTGTTAAGGCATATAACAATGTAAAACTGTATACTTAAATATGATTAACATGCTAAAAACAAAGAATAAAAAGAAAACAAGAAAAAAGGAAGGAGTCTGACATCAGTCCCTTATGCCTGTAATCCTAGCTACTCAGGAGGCTGAGATCTGAAGATGGTGGTTTGAAGCCAGCCTGGGCAGGAAAGTCCCTGTGAGATTCATACCTCTAATTAACCACTCAAAAACTGGAAGTGGCACTGTGGTTCAAGTGGAGTTCTAGCCTTGAGCACAAAGAGGCTCAGGGACAATACCTAGTTCCTGAGTTCAAGCCCCCACAACTGACAAAAAGAAAGAGAGGTGAGGGGCAGGAGAGGGAAGGAGGGAGGGAAGGAAGGAAGGAATGAAAGAAGGAAGGATGGAAGGAAGGAAGGAAGGAAGGAAGGAAGGAAGGAAGGAAGGAAGGAAGGGAGGGAGGGAGGGAGGGAAAGGGTTGAGAACTTGGTAATACTGTTCACTAAATTCCTAAGTAATCTCCATAAGTAATGTATTTTAGAATAAATTTTAGCCGGGCGCCGGTGGCTCATGCTTGTAATCCTAGCTACTCAAGAGGCTGAGATCTGAGGATTACGGTTCAAAGCCAGCCCGGGCAGGAAACACCCTGAGACTCCTATCTCCAATAAACCACCAGAAACGCTCCCCCTGAGCTGAAGAGCTGAGGGACAGCGCCCAGGCTGGGGGTTCAAGCCCCATGACTGACAAAAAATAAAAAAATAAATAAACTTTATAGTAAAAATGCATCACTGTAAATTTTTTGTATTCTTTCTCCAGTTATTACTGATGTTGAGTTTTCTCCTTCCTTTCTTCCTCCCTCCCTTCTTTCTTTTCTTTCTGTGAACATACCAGGGCTAGAACTCAGAGCCTCATACTCACTTGGCTTTTTTTGCTGGTGCTCTACCACTTGAACCATGCATCCAGTCCAGCAATTTTACTGGTTAATTGGAGACACAGTCTCAAGAACTTTTCTTCCTGGACTGGCTTCAAACTGTGATTCTTAGATATCAGCCTCCTGAGTAGCTAGGATTACAGACATAAGCCATAGGTCTCAGCAGATGTTAGATTCTTTACCATAATATCATAGCATTGAGCTAGAAAAGTAGCCTAGATGAAGGTGGTTGGAAACATTACACATCCTTTGTAAAAAATAGCTTGTAAAACAAAGAATAAAAGTAAACAAAAGAGGAGGATGAGAAGATGAGGAGGAAGAGGAAGAGGAGGAGGAGTAGGAGAAAGCATACAATAACTGGAAAGTGTTAAATGATACTTCTTGGAAGTCTTATTTCCTTGCCCTTGGGTCGCAATTTTTTTGAATATTTCAAATGCAAATCAGCATCTTTCATTTTGTGTGAGCCACAGTGAATGTGTAGTTATTTCAAAGGCCTTTTCTGAAATAGAAAAGTTAAATAAAAGCATAGATGTTTCCTTATGTCTAACTTGAGTTGGCTCTTGTCTTATAAAGTTCCACTTCGCCCCCCACAGACTACTTCAATAGGTAAATTTAACAATGCTTAAGTTCATCATTCAATTACATGATTTATTGAGATTACTCTGAATTTCTTCTTGTACACTAAATTCCAACTGCGCTTGTAGTGTCTGAACTGAAAGTCCTCCTCTACTGTCTTTACTCTCATGCAGCTCTGAGATTGCTTAACTAACAAATTCAGCTCAGAAGTCAGGGGTTCAAAGATTGCATGAAGGGAGTGAAGAAGAACATTTAAGAATGCAGATGAAAAGAGGAGAAGAAAGGCTAAGTACTCCATACCTAAGAACTCAAAAAAAAATATCAAGTGGTTTCTTTTAGGACATGAGGAAGTCTAACAGAAAGCACCTACCCTTGGAGGGTAAGTGCACATATCAGAAAAAAAGAAGTAACTTGCCAGAGGGTTGGCCCTCCTGAGTTCAACTTTGAAGAATCAAAGCATAATAGCCAAGGGCTTTGTTGTTTTCTCAATCAACATTTATTGAGTATTTCCAGGTACTATCTGTCATAAAGCATTTTGTTTTACTTAATCCTTGAAATTACCCTGCAATTGAAATTTTTCTTTTAAATTTTATTTTCCCAAGAGAAGAAATTGAGACAAAGGAGAATTAATGTTTGCCTAAAATTGCATCATGAGGAAATGATTTAAATTGTATCTGCATGATTTTTTTAATCTATATACTTTACCTTAACCTTAAGCCAGATTTCCTCAACTTGGGTTTACCTATGGCACTTGTTAAACTACAGTTTCGTAGGTTTCAACAGTAGATTCACTATTAGAATCTGAGATTGTTAGGTCCACAAATCTGCCTTTTTGAGAAACTTGGAATTTTCTGTAAACTTAAGTTTAAAAAAAGTCATTGTATAAAGTTCTTTTTTTTTTTTTTTTTTTTAGGTCCGGTCATGGGGCCTGAACCCCGGGCCTGGGCACTGTCCCTCAGCTCTTCAGTTCAAGGCTAGTGCTCTACCACTTGAGCCACAGCACCACTTCTGGCTTTTTTTTTTTGCTTATGTGGTACTGAGGAATCGAACCCAGGGCCTGAGGTATGCAAGGCAAGTGCTCTACCACTGAGCCACCTTCCCAGCCCTATTGCATAAAGTTCTAACAGTTCAAAATAATGTAGTATGAAGTATGAAGCCACTTAGTTGGCTCTTTATCAGGCTAATTCTAATGGACACCTAT